GGAGGGGATGACTATGGGGGTGGCATTATGTCCCCATGGGGGGTGACACTGTGTCCCCATTGAGTGATGCTGTGTCTCAGTGGGGGATGACGCTGTATCCCTGGGAGGGGTGGGAAGGGAGCTGTGACACTGTGTCCCTATGGGGGGTGGCATTATGTCCCAGTTTGGGATGATGCTGTGTCCCTACGGGAGGTGACATCGTGTCCCCGCATGGTTGATGCTGTGTCCCAGTAGAGGTGACACAGCTCTCTGTGCCCATCTCCTGCAGCCGCACGGACCTTCTGCCAGCTGGAAAACTCACCGGTGCGGAAGCTGATCGCAGCCCCGGGCCGGAAAGCACCGCCGGAGGGCTGAATGGGGCTGAACTGGGTTTGAATGGAGCTGAACGGGGCGCTGCGGGTGCGGCGCTCCCAATAAACGGCCCCGAGTGGGCGAACTGCGCATGCGCGCCGTCTCCGCCTGCTTCCCGCTTCCGTGTTTGAAAGCGTTGGGGGCGTTCAACGCAACGCTTCTCATTGGTTATTTCGCGCGTCGCTCGAAGCGCCGCCTCCAATCATTTCGTTTCGCGCTCCGCGTCAGCCAATAGCGGAGCGAGGAGCTCCGCGGTGGCGCTCCGCCCCTTTTTACCTCAGAGAGGAGGCGGCCATCATGGCGGCGGAGGAGGAAGCGGCGCCGCTGAGCGGTGTGGGCTGGGCGGCGGGACCCGAGGCGGCTCCAGCGGGCTGGAGCGTGGTACGATGGGAAGCCGCGGCCGGACGGGAGGCTGCAAGACGAGGGTGAGGCTGCAATTCGAGGGGAAGCTCCGGTGCGGCCCGGCCCTCACCCTGTGCGCACCCCACAGATCACCGCCAGCGTTGAGGGCAGCGCGGCCAACCTGGGCAAAGGCTTCGGGCACAAGGGCGGGTACCTGTGTGTGAGCACCGCAGCTCCGGTACGGTGAAAATGGGGCAAAATCGGGCGGTGGGGCGATCCAGGGGGCCCTCCTGAGCTCTAGGCCCGATCCCGGGGCCTGCCCTGAGCTCTGGGCCCCCGCAGGGCTCGGCTGGCTCTGTGGTGACTGACGTCCAGGTGCTGAGCGACCGAAGTCCGCAGCCCCCGGGCTACAGCCGCGCCCCCGAGTTCCCAGAGCCTCGTAAGTGCTTTTGGGAAGGAGCCGAGGGGTTTGGCAGAGCTCCGTCCTCATTTGCAGCTCCTGCTTCACCCCCAGGTTCCGGTGTGTCCCGTAAGAAGAGGCTCTATGTGAGGTTGCAGCCCCGTGGGGCTGCTGAGACGGCCGTGTTTGACATCAAACTGAGTGGGAAGAGCAGAGCTGTGCCACAGTACATGAAGATCGGGTAAGGAAAGAAACCGACCCCCCCCCCCCCCCCCCAAACACAAAATAAATGCACAATTAATGGGCTACCTGCCACCATTTGGCCCTATTTCCCCCTTCTTCTTGTGTTCTCTCCCTTTTTCCTGTTTCAAAATGTTCCATTTCCCCATTTTTGTTGTTCTTAACCATTTTCTTTTCTTCCTCTAGGGAAATCGGTAGCTTTGCCATCTGGTGTAAGAAAGGAGCCCTTCCCAAATGCAGCCCTCCTCCTGTCCCCAAGCCCAGGACAGTCAGCCTGGGGCTGAAGCAGCTCTCATTGGCTGACTCTGAACAGCAGTACGTATACATCGACCTCGTCTACTCCTACCTGGAGCTGGGAGCAGGTCTTGCTGCTGCATGGTGTTAAGGCTTTGTGGCTCGTTAGCTGTTAATGAGGGTCAGCTGTGTGCTGATACAATGAGCAGTGTCCAAATGAGGAACACCTGGGGAGAAACAGCTGCAAGCATCAGTCTGAAGTGGGACTGAGCTGATGGGAAAGAGCTCTGTGGGGAAGGACCTGGGGTGTCCTGGTGGCAAACTATGAGCCAGTGCTGTGCCCTGGTGGCCAAGAAGGCCAATGGGACCCCCAGGTGCATTGCCCAAAGTGTGGCCAGCAGGGTGAGGGAGGTGCTCCTCTCTCTGCTCTGCACTGGGGAGGCCCCATCTGGAGCACTGGGCCCAGATTTAGGCTCCCCAGTTCAGGGCTGATGGGGAACTGAGCCCAGCAGAGGCTACAGAGATGCTGGGGGCCTGGAGCACCTCCTGATGGGGACAGGCTGAGAGCCCTGGGGCTGTGCAGCTGGGGAGGAGAAGGCTGAGAGGGTTCTGCTCAGTGCTGCTCAGTATCCCGAGGGTGGGAGCCAGGAGGATGGGGCTGGGCTGTATTTGTGGTCCCTAGTGACAGGACTGGGGGGCACAAAGTGGAGCTCAGGGATTTCCATCTGAGCAGGAAAGAGAAGTTCTGTGCTGTGTGAGTGGCAGAGCCCTGGCACAGAGATTTGGGGGAGGGGGTTCTCCTTCCACTGAGAGATTCGGGTCCATGGAGATCCCTTCAAGCCTTGTGGTTCCGTGGTTCTGCTATGGCTGGAGGTGATGCATGTGAAATAGGTGCCAGAGTGTTGAGGTACCCTCTGGGGACTGCTCAGAGCTGTGTTAACACAGTGAGAACTGCCTGCAGGAGGAGCTGGAGGCCTGAGGCAGCACAGTGGGGGCTCAGCATCCAGCAGTAGGGGCTCAGCATCCAGCTGGGCCCAGGCCAGGCAGTGCACAGCATTCCCATGGCTCACTGCTTTAGGGGAAGTCAGACTAGGGGAACTCCAGAGGTCCCTTTGGCCCCTGTGGATCTGTCATTCCATGATATTAATTCCATAGGTCACCAGAGAAGCCCGTGGCTCGCTCTGGCTCCAGGTGTGCTTCCTTCACGCTGCACAACTCGGCTGATGACGGCTCCAACATCTACAACCTCTCAGGTACCCATTCCTCTGTACCATAAAGCTGTAGAAAGCAACATGCCCCTGCTGAAGGAGTTCTGTTCCTTTTAAACACTGGAACCCAGATAAGATTGTAGAGCTTTCCCTTAGCGAGCCTTCTTTCTCCCTTCCTGAAAGCCCTCACCTGCTCAATGCAGCGCTCAATTTCAGAGTGGCTCCTTTGTTGCTGTTAAAATCTCTGCCCCTTCTCTTTCCAGCAATGGATGGAGTCCCTTTCACACTACACCCCAAATTCGAGCGCAGCCCCAAATCTGACAGCAATGTGAGTGTTCCTTCAAGCTGCGTCTTCTGTTGTTCCCCATCCCACTCACAACTGCTCTTCACTAAAACCCATTTAATTTCAGGCTATTCTCACTGACCTGACTGTCAAATCGCTCGCTGACATTGAGAAAGAGGTAATTAAACACCTCATTCTCTTGAGGTGAATGGTGGCAACGCTCTGAATTTCCCAAATCCCACTGTTTTTCTCTGATTGTTTCCAGTACAACTACACCTTTGTAGTGGAACGGACGGCGGCCGCTCGCCTCCCTCCCTCCATTTGCTGACACCACTCAGTGCTGCCAGGATGTGAAGCACTGACCCACACTCCCTCCCTCCCTAAGATCCAATTACAGGAAGTGCTGAGGGGTGACAATAAAGGCGTTTCTCTCATCGCCTGCCAAAGTATTTTCGTAATGTTTTCGGGATGCGTGGCTGCGATAGAGGAGTTCCTGGTGCTGTTGCTTCTGTGATTTGAAGCGTGGGGCTGTATGGGTGTGTTTATGACGGTGTTTCTTCTCTTGTGCTTTGACAACACTGCAGTTCTACTCTGAACATCAACTCCTGATGGGTTTTAGTGTTTCTGGATGCCACCTTTGAGCCTAATCTTCCCTTCTATATATACTCCCCATTAAAAACATCACAAAGGAAGTCCCAGCCACATTTCAAAATACTTCAGGCTTGACTTTTTAGTTACCAAATTCTGTAAACGTTTCCTGGAGCGGGGTAGTACAAAACTCCCACCAGGCGCTGCGTCCTGGGAACACCAAAAAGTCATTTCACAGAGGTGATTTCCACGTGAGATGGGAGGAAACTCTCCCCGGAGCTCAAGAGCTGCTCTCAAATCATAGGGATGATTTTTGGGGTGCCCCCAGCAGGGCCCTGGCGCTGTGTTCACGAAGGCACTTTGAGTTTTGCTCTCCCCAGTAGGAACTGAAGGATACGGTCCGCCAACAAAGCAAGGAAGAAGTCGGCCAGCAGCACCTCCGTGATAATGATCTTGAACTGTGAAACAAATGCAACAGTGAGCACTGATCCTCCCCTTCCTCCATTGCACAAAACCTAAAAGAGGTGCTGAGCATTGAACCTCTGCAGCTGCTGCTGCATGCACGCTCTACTTAAAGCTATTTTCTGCTGGCTGTGAGAGCCTTAATGGTGTGAGGACGGGCTTTAGGGGGAGCACAGCAAAGCACCACACGCTCACCTCAGTAGGGATTTCCACCAGCCCAAACTGTTCGTTGAATTCAGGCGAGGAACCTGTGAGCAGCCCCACGATGGCCAGCCCTGAGAGGATGATGCTCCACAGCAGCGGTTTGTTCTCCTGCAGGCTCTCCATGAAGGGATGGCCCTAAAACGCAGCGGGAAGGAACTGTCAGCAGGTGCTGCTGTCCTCGCAGAACATTTCAGGTTAGGGGATAAGGAGGAGCATGGGGCACACAGCTTGATCCAACTTGAACTAAAAGTGGGAGCATTCCTCTGCAGAGCACTGAGCAACCCGTAGGTTGTGATTAGAGAAGAGCAGCGCTTTGTTTGAGTATATCTGAGTGACACCATTGCTCCTCTGGATGTGACCGAAGCGTGGCTTGCCTTGTAGTTGATAGCAAACGTGGCCATCTGCATCGCCATCGACATGATGTACACAGTGCTGTTCACAAGGCTGGGCTCAAACTCCTTGTACAGATCCACAAACTCTTCCCGTCTAAAAGAGAGCGGAGCTGGAGAGATCAGCAGGATCACCACAAGCAAAGCTTCCCCCCAAGCTCCTTTCCCCCATCCCCAATTTATTGGTATGACGCACAAATTCAGCCGGGCAACAGCGCTCTGCTTTCATAGCACCCTGCTGCAAGCACAGCTCATGGGAATGGCAGCACTGAAAGGGTTGGGAGGAACTGCTGGAGGTCATCTGTCCAACCCTTCCTGCTAAAGTAGGGAACTCTTGGCCCACACATCAAAAATCAAGTGAAAAAAATATATTTTTTTTAAAAAAGGCTTTCCAGCAGTGCTTCCATTGGTGTTTTTTGTTTTTTTTTTTGTTAGAGAAAGAGCAGCATGTGATGGCTTTCTCCACTTTCCTCCTTTGAGAAGAGCAGAGATGTGGCTCATGGGATGTGGGGCAATGGCTGATGATCTTAAGAGGCATTTTTCTAATACTTTGCTGACTTTAATGGCTCTAGGATGAGCTGCTCCTGTGCTGGGAGAAGGGACACTTACTTGGAACCACTGCGCACCTGGGCACCGTGGTACAGGTAAACGAGGCTGAGGAAATGCACCAGGAACTGCAGCAGCACCGTCAGCACCGTGTAAAGGTTGAAGATGTTGGGCAGCGGGCGCTCCTTGGACAGAGTCTTCAGAGGCTGGGAGCAAAAAGCAAGTGGGGTTGGCTAGTTCAGACCTCTCCTTGTAGTTTTCTACCACTCTGGGTTTGTTTGTTAATTACAACAAGCTTCATTTTGGAGATGGGCACTCTTGCAGTAGTCCTGATACAAGAAACACGGACCGAGCGCTGTCCCAACACGCTGCCTTCCCCGTACCTTTGACCTGGAGATGAAAAGGAAGCAGCCAGCCAGCAGCAGCCCCTGCAGCGTGGCCTGGAAGTCGCTGAACTTCACCCCTTCCAAGTAGAGAACGCTCTGGCTGTAGGCCAGGATCAGGGCGTTCAGGGCGAGGATCTTAAACATCTGGAGTGTTGTCACGAGTGTGCAGCGACCTTGCTTGATCACGTGGCAGACTGAGGAGGAAGAGGAAGTGGTTGGAAGAGGAACAGAAGAGCTCTGGAGGGCTTTGTGCCTCAGCCCTCTCTGAAGCAGTATAGGGAGAGGATCAGCAGAGCATCCCCTCTGTGAAAGTCCCCACCACCACGCAAATAGGCAAAGCTGTCGGTTTGGGAGTGCTTCTCACTGCTCCACGCTCCCCACCTCCCCTTATTGAGGAACGGGGACATGCAGAGATCCGCACCAAGCACTCAGCTCCCGCCTGCACTTACTGCACTGGATGGAGGAGAGCTTGGAGGTGAAGGGGGCTGCAATGCTGGCGTCACCCAGCTTCACCACCGGCACGCGGTCCTCCTCCAAATCCTTCAGCACCTGACTGATCCGCTCCTGCAGGCAGAAGAGAAAGGCACATTGCACACCTTCACAGTGCTGCCCTCCCCTCTCCCTTCTTCCAAGGGAATCCCTGTGCTCACAGCACAGCGTTGGGATCTCTCCAGTAAAGCAAGAAGCTGCTTTTCTCCATCCCCAGTCCGGATGAACCAGCAGTACACTCAAGAAGGAAAGAAGAGCGATGACAATTAGTGGGATTTTTGACATATCATTACTGACCCTCTGCACGGCCAGCTGCTCCTCTCGCTGGGACATGACTCTGTGCTTGGCACCACGCGACGTGGGCTTCACCATCCCGCTCCCCAGCGGCACTGCAGCGGGCCTGAGCTCAGAGGGACCATCCCGAGGCCTCTTCTTCCTCTCAGGCAGTCTCTCAGGAGCATTGGCCAGCAGAGCCACTCCTGAAATAAGCAAAACATGATCTGTGGGGTGGAATACAGCACTCCCTTTGCTGGCAAACAGGAATCCTGATGGCGATCTACGCATGCAGCTAGTTATGGAGTGACTGCAGGCCTCTTACGTTGGATGAAATAAAAAAGCTTTGAAAAGAGAAAAGTTAGGAAGAATTTCCCTTCTGCAGAGATGTGTTTGCAGCCAAATCCCACTGCTTGCTTGTACGTGAACAGTGGGTATTCCACCAGCACAGAGATCCTTCTTTATCTCACTTTCTGCCCCTAAATAATGCTGGTCAGATCAATTCCAGCCCCAAAACAAGAGAAATGAACATTGATTTTGTGTTTAGGAATTGCCACCAAACTCAGTGGCGCTCACGTGGGCGTCCTGCAGTGCACTCACCCACATCCGCGTGCTTCAGAGCTCCAACATCATTGGTCCCATCCCCGCACATCAGTGTGACGTAGCCCAGACTCTTCAAAGTAGTGATCACAAACTCCTGCCAAAAAGAACTGTGTGGTGAGAATTGGCAGAGCAGCTGAGCTGGATGATGCGCCTTGGCCGAGCGCTGCTGTGTGGTGGGAACTCATTGTCTTCCAAGCCACGCTCCAAAAGGTTCACTCTAGGTCTTAATTTTAGGAATGCGGAGCTAAATGGACCAGTGCCTTCAGGATAATGACAGTGCACATCCTGAGCTCTGTTTCTTGCTGCCAGCTGACTTGGATAGTGCGAAAGGTTTTGCTTGTTGGCTGATAACAGCTTTAGCATTAATCATGAGCAGCACTGCTGCTGCCATACACCAAATGATCCCCACGAGCAAACCAGCAAAATTTGGGTTTTATCAACATCTCTCACCTTCTGCTTCGGCACCACTCTGGCAAACACTTGGATGTGCGGTATGAGCCGCAGCAGCTGCTGTCTGTTCAGAGCCTGCAGGTGAGAGAGACCTTCCCCTGTCATGCAGAGGTCGTAGCGCTGTGTCAGCTCCCGCAGGGAGGTGGGCAAAATGGGGAACATGATGGCACCGTCAATGGACTGCCACTGCCAGGTGGAATCTGCAAAGAGAAGCTCTCATCGTATCCTAATGCGGAGAGGGACAGAGGACAGAGGGTTCTCTGGGACTCCAGAAAGCAAACAAGCCCTTTTCATTATTGGCATCAAGCAGCCGTGCTTATAGTATGGGACTGCAGTGCTCCAGGAGGGGTTTGGCTGCTGAAGCTATTCCTGCATGAAATCAGTCACCTTTGCTGGCAGGAGGCTGCAGAATGAGTGTGTGTTCCCTCTGGAGGAAGTGCAGCTCCCTGGCCACGTGGCAGGCAGTCAGAGGGTTGTCTCCTGTTATCATCACTACCTGAGGGGAAAGTACAAGAGGTCAACGTCACTTCTGTGGGCACTGAGAAGAGTTCTGCCCAGCAGGGATGCTGGAGATATTCCCTATGAGGTGTAGCTCAGTGAGGCAAGAAAGGCTTTTTCTCCAGGTCACAGCAAATCCCGTTGCCAAAATAACACATCCATGCTCCTTCCCTGCCTTCATCACGGGAAACCCTCTGCCTTCATTCCAAAGGCACCAAAATTCCACATCCCAAGCTGCCAGCAAGGCCAGGATGTTGCTGCCTGCGATGCTTACGTGGTGCGATGCGTTCTGGATCTCCCTGATGACAGATCTGGAGTCCGTTTTGAGAGGGCAGGAAACCACAATGAAGCCAGCAAAGCGAAGGTCACACTCCAGAGCTTCACGCTTCATCTCTCGCACCTGCCACAGCAAACGGGAGGAAAACCCATTGAATTCTGTGATTCTGTGATTGATTCTGTGATTCTGTGAAAACTGGAGAACTGCCCGATGCTTTGCCACGGCTGTCTTGTCTGATGGTGGGTGCTTCTTTGCAATGAAAGCATAATTTGGGAGAAAAT